CGAGACACTATATCCGCTGGGTTAACTTTCGTGGGAACGTGTCGCCAAATTGTATTCTCCGACCAGTCTTGGATCTCAGCTACTCGGTTTGAGACGAAAACGGACAACAACGGAGGATGAGTTTTGATCCAATGCAGAGTGATCTCGGAGTCGGTCCATAGGACAACTTTTTTAATAGGGCAATTCAGTGATGGCCTTACACGTTTAAGAAGATCTGCTAAAAGGTGAGCTGCACACAGCTCAAGGCGAGGCAAAGTTTTCGTCTTGAGGGGAGCTACTTTGGATTTGGCAGTCAGTAATGACACTTTCAAACCTTCAGCAGTTCTAGTGCGAACGTAGATGCACGCTCCATATGCTCGCATGGAAGCGTCAGCGAAACCGTGTATTTCAATCGGGACTTGCGGATCTGTTTGAACGAATCGCGATACCTTGACTTTGGGCAGTTGCAGCAGAGTTGCTTTGAAGGCTTCCCACGACGTTTGTCCAATCTAATTTTCGAAGCCACAGCTCCTGTAGAAGCAGCTTTGCCTTTGTGACCAAAGGACACAACAGGCCCAGTGGATCGAAAAGTCTCGCAGTCACGGAGAGTATGTTTCGTTTTGTCGGACGAAGATCCTGGAAAGAGTCATCCAACCGAAATTGGAAGTAATCTTTACCAGGTAACCAAACCACTCCAAGGGTTTTAGTTACATCTGAGTCAGCCAATAATGGCATGATAGCGCTGTCAGATGCGGAGATCTCTGGGCAGTTTGAAAACCACTTTGCCAATTCGAAACCTGTCTCTTGCAAAACCTGAGACACTTCCTCAAGAAGGCTTTGCAGGTTCTCAACGCATCCGGCGCCTGTCAACAAATCGTCAACATTTTTCTGAATGACCTTTGCGGATACTTAGCTTGCGCCATCCCTCCAGGCCGCATTAAACACCGGATTGCCATGAAGGGTACTGGCGATGTTCCATAGGTCACGGTATTTAACCTGAAGATCTTCAGAGACTCAGAAGGATCTCGTCTCCACACTATGAGCTGATAATTTTGGTCTGCTTCGTCAACCATCACTTGGCGATACATCTTTTTAATGTCCGCTGCAAGGGCGAACCTGTGCATTCTGAACCGAAGAAGCGTCGAATATAGCTTCTCTTGAATAGTGGGGCCTATTATCAAGATGTCATTCAACGCAACCTGCGTCGATGTGCGGCTTGAGGCATCGAATACCACTCTCAACTTGGTTGAGGTGCTTTGAAGCCGCAGCACGCATTGGTATGAAATTGTGTGGACCATCTGGAATTTTATCATCAGTAGAAGACATATGGCCCATTCACGCATATTCCTCCAAGAAGTCCAGATACATTTTTTTTAAAGAAGGATCTTTGGACAATCTTCTTTCAAGCGACAAAAATCTACGTTTTGCAACCAAGAATATTTGGGTCAGATTTGAACGGCAGGCGAACCGAAAATCTCCCGGACGACAATCTTTGAGTATTCTTCTCAAAGTGTTGTTCACAAAGTTGTTGATAAGGATTATGGACTTTAGCCTTAGGCGGCAAGTTCTCCACAGACCAAAATTTCTGCAGGGTTGTGTCGATTGACTCCAACTCTTCTTCCTGACAGCTGAGATGTACCGAATTTTCTGTCTTGATTTTGTTTTCAGGGGCACATCTCCCTGACACTATCCAGCCGAGAACAGTTTTTTGCAAGATGGGAAGTTCAGGCCCCTGCTTTATCTGGCCGAATGACAGAATTTCAAAAAATGAATCTGCGCCGATAAGCATGTCTATTTTTTGGGGCTTGAAGAAGAATGGATCTGCCAACTTAATATTTTCAGGCACCCTCCACCCGCTGGTGTTCACCACTTGATCCGGATGATAACCAGAAATATTTTTTAATATATAAAAATCGGACGACAACTGGCTGCTTCCTACTCGCGACTTCACTATCGTATGTATTTTCTTTGTTGCTTGGGCATTAGTTTCGCCAATGCCCCGCAAGCTCATACACACATCCTCTCTTTTAATTTGTAGTCTCTGAGCGAGCTCGTCGATCACAAATTTTATTTGTGAACCAGAGTCAAGCAAGGCTCGAGCCACAACAAATTCGCCACTTTTTGATAATACACTCACGATAGCTGTGGCAAGAATGACTCTATCCGAAGCAGTCGCATGTAAAACATGTGAAGTGGATGGAGTCTTTTGCATGAGCTTTGATGCTCTGCTGATGTGCAAAACACACATAGGGAAGGGTCGTCCCTGGCAGCGATCAACAATAAACTTTTATTTCCACTCTTCTCCGAAAAAGTCTGGCTTGGCTGAACATTTTTCGGCTTGGAAGCCTCTTCGGCGACCATGTGTTGGTATCGCCTGTCCAGAGCCGACTCACATTCGCTCCAAAGAGGAAGCGAAGTATAGTCCAACTGTTCTTCCCACTTTCTTTTTGTTCCTGCATCGACTTTGCTCATTATTAAATGAATGCGGATGGCATTCGTAATTCGTTTGTCATACCCAATAGACAGCATCGAGTCATAAAGAGCTCTGACTGTGTCGATCAGGTTTCTCAAGGCTGTGGCTGATGGCTGGGACATTTTTGACAGATTGAAAAGTGTCGATATATTGTCGAAGAAAATCAGGCAATCATTATCGTTCACCCGCTTCAGGCTAGCGAGGGCCTTGGGATAATTGGCCGCAGTTACTTGAAATGCCCTGACTGTGCCTAAAGCGTCTCCATCTAGACACGATATTAAATGATTGAATTTTTTCAATATCGTGCAGAGTATCATCTTTGTCAACAAATGTTTCGAAAAGGCTTATAAAATTGTTGAATTCGGAGTGCTTTTCGCTGAATGTTGGAAGAGACACGCTCGGCAAGCGGCATTGGGGAGTGCGCCTTGCCGGTGGAGCGGATTCATCGACGCTCACACGCCTGCTCTTATTTAATTAGCAGAGACTTGGCCATTACTGCGGTCTCTTCTAATTCTTCACGGAACAAATCTTCTGGGACTCTCGCTTCTATTTGATTTTGGATTGTCGAAGCATTTTCTATGGATTTCTGGATTCAAAGATAATCGACCCTCTTCCAAATATTGTTGAGTTCGGGATATACTATATATTCGATTTTCTTGTTGCTCATTGTAATTTATTATTTAATTAAATTTAGTTTGGAATCGAAAGGCTGGATAATTAATTTTTATTCAAAAACCAAAAATAAAAATAAAAAATTTTTAATTTATTTTTATTATTTAAACAAAAATAAAAAAGTAAACGAGTGGTATATGCCGAATGACTGCACTGTAGGGGGTTTGTCGAATAATTTGAACGAAGTCGTTTAGTATGATATTAACTAATTGATTAGTTCCTTACGGAACTAATAAACCGCACACACAAATTGTAGAGGAGCACACGCTCAGCGCAAATACCGAAAACGAAGCGATAACACAACAACAACGCTTGCACTGCTCCAGCGACCGAAAACGAAACGGGCAATAGAGCGATCGCAAACACTGGCAGCGCTGCCGGGGTGAGAGTGCGTGGGTGTGTATGTATGTATTTAGCTGGCGGCTCACTCTTTGGTAGATGCTGACAATAGCGGAAAATGATGCACTGACCGATATTTAGGGGCAACGAATATATAAGCGGGATGCGCTGAAGCACGGGAAATTGCGCTAAGGCTGGGGAAAATGGCGGAAAAGCGCGCCAAATTTGGAAATTAAATTGCGCGCACAACTTTTTCCGCGATTTTCTTTGCACAATAGGTTAACTGGATGCACTATTTAAATTACTTTTTTCGACTACTACGACGAAATTGGGGGATTTATTTTGCACTTATTGGGTCTCGACGAATATTTAAGTTTTAAGGTCCAAGGCGATTCACTTTAATGCAATATTTATTACAGTATAAAATATATGGGTATATCAATATTTATGTATAATATTAGAATTAAAATTGTTAGTGCATGCGCAAATCAAATTTTTTGGTTAGAATGCTCACTATCTACCGATTTTTTCACACGAATGCAAAAAGTTGAAAGATTGGCCGAACACAATTTTACATCACGCCACAGAATAACTTTCAACTTTTTACACTCTTACCTGGCTGGCCGATTCTGTCTGATCAGCAACTTTCCTTTTCGGATCCATATGCTTGGCGTATGTAGGGTGCGAAAGATGAGAGGCAAGGCTTGGTAACGATCAAAAAATGTTCTCCAGTAGCATCAACGAAAAGGCTTCTTCAGCAGCAACAGCAATTCCACCGACGAAAATGATTGTTTATTGGCACTTTTTGCTTATGTATGTTAAGCCGACGCGGAGAATTGTTTTTGGTCTTTAATTGTTTGTCACGCACCGAAAATAATGCGAAAAAAAAAAATAATAACCCACGATCACGTCGGGGTCGCCATAAAAAAACAATATGAGTTTATATTGACGAAAACGGGAAACTTGTGATGCAGTGGTTTTTATTCTTTGCGAGGTTTTTTAGCGAACGAAAACGAACGTTGCGGCGATGCGCACGAAAAGGAGTTCAATTTTCCACTAACTCTTACATGCTAACCTAAAAGTACTGTGCGGGAGAGCGGCGGCCGAATTCGCCTGAGCGAGAAAGCTTTATAAATCCCCGATTCCCGCTTTACATTTACATTAGAGAGAAATCTGTAAAGAGATACTGTTGGCTGAAGCCAGTTTTTCGTTTTTTTTATTTTTTGAATTGTTAGAATAAGTTTCGTTGAAATTGAGTTTGATCGAGCGCACGCATTTCTTTTTCGTTTTCGTCGTTTTGCCAAAATAAATTTATTAATTAGCCACCCAAGTTTCGGTTTTTAATAATTAGAAAAACGCTTCTAAATTTTCATGGCGCCCCCGGGTGGACTAATTAATTAAATAAAAGGCAACAAATTTTTTTAAAAGTGACAGTGACACAAATAACATAAAAGTGCAAGTGATTTTTTCTTGTGTTTTTTTGTTATACAGAAAATTGCACAAAAATCCAATTTTGCTTGTGATATACAAAGTTGCCCGCGACGTGTGTTCAAAAGAAAAACATTTAAGCTCCAGCTATTAATTAATCGTGCCGGTCGCGAAATTAAATACCCTAATTCGACGTTCCTGCCACCGACGAGGGATGCCCTGCGATTGTTCAAGTTGCAAAAGGAAAGTGGCAGCAGGATTGAAAGATCCAAACGAAGAACCAAAGGTATTTGTGCGAAAAATTGAAAGCTGAGTTTTGACAAAAAACTAGAAATATTCGTTAATTGTCTAGTGCTGAAAAATTGCACCTCGCTTTCAATTCTTGGCACATATGTACAAAATAGTAGAGCTAGATTGCATGCAAAATTAAATTTAAACAATTTTAATAATTTCAAAGAGTACCAAAATATTAAAGCCATTATATATATATAAATACCTAATATATTTACAAGTGCTAAATTTATGTATACTATTTGAACCAATTTGGATGCAACTTTTGTTAAATTGTGTTAAATTATTGCAATCACTGTCGCCCCCCTTGTTTTTAATTATCGTTAAAACCTCGCAAGTTAATAGTTGGGAAGTTAATCTAAGCCGTTATACACAAATATATAAGCCCTTATATACAAGCAGCTGCAGCGGTAAACTTTTTTTCGTTTTCGCTTTCGCTTGGTCGCCGCTAGCAGCGTTGTTGTTGTTGTTGGGTTCTTGTCATTTGGGCGCGCTACAGGTTAACGGACCGTCAAGTGACGCGCTACCCCGCATTCGGTTGGGTATATTGGTTTTCGCCGTCGTTTGCACCCACTATTAATTTTGATACTTCGTGCCTCGATATTCAGTTTAAAAATTATTTTCGTTGTTTCTCGCCTCTAAATAATTATTTAATAATAATAATTATTTAATAATTTTTTTTCGAACAAATTTAATAATTTATAAATTATTATTTTTTTTGTGGTTTAATTCGAAAATTAATTTCATTTAAATTTTTCACACTTGGTCCTTTAATAATTTACTTAAATAAATTTGGTTTTTGATAATTTAATTCAAAAATGAGCCAAGAAAAGCCCAAAAGTAACCTGCTTGAAGACTTGAAAGCCAAGTTACAAAATCGAGTAAAAAGCATTCGCCGATTAAGTGATCGACTCGATTCTGGCGCGATCGCGATTAAAGAAGAAGAATTGAAATGTAGATTAGATACGTTAAACGCTGCAATTAATAAGGCAAATCTATTGCAAGAAGAGATAGAAGATATAGATGATGGCGATGAATTTAGAGATGAGTTGGAGGAGCTATCAATTGTTACCAAGGCAAAATTAATGTCGCTTTTGTCGGCCTTGAAGACAGCAAGCGATCCAAAAATTTCCGGATCAGCTTCTGTAGCCCCAACTCGAGCTCGACTTCCGAATTTGGCCTTGCCAAAGTTCAGCGGCAAATATTCGGAGTTTAAAAATTTCATCAGCCTTTTTGAAACTCTCGTTCATCAAGACGACAGCATTCCAGTTATCGAGAAATTTAACCACCTAATTTCGTGTCTCTCCGGTGAAGCCTTAGGGACTATTAAGGCTTATCAAGTCACCGCGAGCAATTATGAGAAGGCTATGGCCAGCCTTAAAAAAGTCTACGATAACGAATGCTTGATTTTTATGAATAATATCTCAACATTGTTCACTCTTCCAAAAATTACGCACCAATCAGCGTCTTCCTTAAGAAGCCTTATCGATACCGTTTCATCAATTTATGGATCGTTGTTATCGATAGGAGATGATACAAAAATATCCAATGCAATGTTGATTTATCTCGTCTTGAACAGAGTAGACCCAGTGACTAAACAAAAATGGAAAGAACAGCTTGATTATGAAACTTTGCCGCTTTGGTCCGATTGTGAGAAGATGTTGAATCGCCGATATCAGCATTTATCTGCTGAGGAAACATCAAAACCAAAGCAAGATAAATTAATTCCGAGCAAACATAATCGAAGCTCGTTTTCGTGTTCTTCGACCAACACTAAGTCCGTGCAAAGTTGTAGCTATTGCAATGCTGGAGACCATGTCCTAGCGAACTGCAGTCCGTTTGGTCGGCTGTCAGTAATGCAAAGGTTCGATTTTGTTAAATCTGCGTCTTTGTGCATAAATTGTCTGCGAAAGGGTCATACGGTTTCCAAATGCAAGAGTAGTAAATGTCGAGTTTGTGGTCGCTCGCATCACGTTTTACTGCACAGGTATACCGTCTCCGAGAATAGTTTAGCGTTGCCACCACCCCAAGAGAGTTTGTCTCCCTCTAAAAGTCAGGATCAGCCTTCCACGTCACATGTTATGCATGCGACATCATTGGACAGGGTGATTTTGGCCACGTCGATCGTTAGTGTCCGCACGAAAAGCGGTGAATACATTTTGGCTCGAGCCCTTCTTGACTCTGGGTCTCAAGCCAATTTCGTTACAGAAGACCTTGCTCGCCGCTTACAGATCCGTAAAGAGGAATCGTGTATCAACTTACTTGGTATTGGCGAATCCAATTCTCAAGTTAAGAAAAAGGTACACACAGTGGTGAAGTCGCGAATAAATGGTAGTGAATTTTCGTTCGATTTTTGGATTTTGAAATCGATATCCGGATATCATCCGGACCAGTCTGTGAATATCAGTGACTGGAAAATTCCTACGAACGTACCATTAGCAGACCCCTATTTCTACAAGCCACAAAGAATAGATATGTTGATAGGAGCAGAATCATTTTTCGAGCTTTTAGCTGTTGGTCAAATTAAGCAAGGTTCTGACTATCCAACTCTTCAAAAGACCCTACTTGGATGGGTTGTTTCAGGCAGATACAAGGCGTCTGCCCCAAGAGATGTTGTGAATAGTTATAGTTGTAGTGAAGAGCTGTTAGTATCGATTGATAGCACACTACAAAAGTTTTGGTCACTGGAAGAAATGCCATCTATAAAGAAAATTCTATCACCTGAGCATAAGTTGTGTGAAGAACACTATAGAAAGACCACTCAGGTTTTGCCATCAGGTCGGTTTGAAGTAAGATTGCCGTTTAAATCTGATCCCACTGGATTGGGCAACTCATTCGATTTTGCAAAAAGGAGATTTCTGTCGCTCGAAAGAAGGTTGTCGCGAGATCCTGAATTAAAGAAAATGTATCTCGAATTCATGGAAGAATACCTCGCGTTAGGTCATATGTCTCCTACAGATAATAGAGTTCCTTTGACTCCACATTATGTTATTCCGCATCAGTGTGTCCTTAGGCCCCAGAGTACGTCTACTAAGTTGCGTGTCGTGTTTGACGCCTCTTGCAAAACGTCATCTCAGGTGTCCCTAAATGATATCTTGATGGTAGGCCCAACTATCCAAGATGAGTTATACTCCACACTGCTCCGCTTCCGGCTGCACAGGTTTGCTCTGACAGCCGATGTTAAAAAAATGTATCGCCAAGTAATGGTAAATGAAGCGGATAGGCCGTTTCAACTCATAGTGTGGAGAAGAGACCCCTCAGAATCCTTGAGATTATACCAGCTCAACACCGTAACATATGGAACTGGTCCAGCTCCATATCTAGCGATTCGGTGTTTAAAAAGGTTGAGTGAATCTGCCAAACTTTCATTCCCTAGAGCTGCTGAAGTGATTGGATCCGACTTTTACGTCGATGATATGCTAACTGGTGCTGCATGCGTCGAGGAGCTCAGATCTATTAGGTCTGAAGTGTCTCAGGTTCTTCAAACCGCCGGGTTTGAATTGACAAAGTGGTTTTCGAACTCACCTGAGGTCACCGCATCTGAGAGCACAGTTAAATCCATACCAATCTCGGATTCAGAGTCGACGAAGGCGTTAGGCATATCGTGGTTGCCTAACGAAGATTCTTTCAAGTTTGAAATTGACAATTCCGTCATGGGTCTCAGAGCGACAAAGCGGAACATACTATCGGTGACATCGAAGCTGTTCGACCCCCTCGGCTTGCTTAGTCCTATCGTAATCAGAGGAAAAATCCTATTGCAGGAACTCTGGCTGAACAAGTTGGATTGGGATGAGTCGATTCCTGTGCATTTGGAAACTGCGTGGAATAAATTGAAAAATACATTGTCTCGTTTGGAAGAGATATCAATTCCGCGGTATGTGCACACCGATCCGATGTCACCGGTTCAATTGCATGCCTTTGCCGACGCATCCATGAGAGCTTATGGAGCTTGCGTCTATATTCGTAGCAAAACTGCAGAAGGTATTAAACTGTCATTACTGACTTCAAAATCTAAAGTAGCGCCGCTCAAGACTAAAACGCTCCCAAGGCTTGAGTTATGTGCCGCTCACCTTCTCGCAGATCTCTGTCACAGAATCAAACCCCTATTAAAGGTCCCTATCGAACGGATAGTCTATTGGTCAGACTCGGAAGTTACGTTGCATTGGATTCGATCCCATCCGTCTTCTTTGTCGATATTCGTCTCGAATAGGGTAGCGGAGATTCAGGAGTGGTCAGGAGAAGCTACGTGGCGGCATGTCCCAACTAACCAGAACCCAGCAGATATTGTATCAAGAGGTTGTGACATAGAGGAAATTAGCGATTCAATCTGGTTTACTGGACCATCCTTTTTGAAGAATGGAGAAGAGACCTGGCCCAAAAATTCACATTTCGTTCTTGATGAAAAGGTCCTAATTGAAGAATCAAGGAAGACTGTGGTAACGATGGCCGCCACGGTACGGAAGTCGGAACTGGTAGATGTCATCGAGGGATTTTCGTCACACCTCAAGCTGCTTAGAGTGTTCGGTTACATGTTCCGCTTTATAAGGAAATGCAGAGACAAGAGTATAGTTTTTGAAAAAACTCTGTCTCCGAATGAGTACAACGAAGCCTTTTTAAAAATTGTCGAGACCATCCAGAAACACGAGTATCACGAAGTTCTAGAAAAAGTTCGGAAGAACTCCAGAGTTGGCCCAAGTCTTCAACGATTGAACCCATTCATTCATGAAGACTCAGGCACTTGGTGTAATTTTTCGTTGTTGCGAGTTGGGGGGCGATTAGCAAATGCTCCTATAACGTACGATGCCAAGTTTCCCCTGCTGTTGACAAAATGCTCCCAATTTGTGCAGAGCTATGTCCGGCATTTGCATCTAACCAATTTTCATGTCGGGCCACGAGCACTTGTGAGTCTCCTTCGACAGCGTATTTGGATCGTAAACGCTCAGGAGGTCTGCAGTCAAATAGTTCGATCCTGTATTCGCTGCTTTAAATGCAAGCCTCGACTAATGACACAAATTATGGGAAATTTACCCGCAGATCGTCTCCGTGCTCTCCGCCCATTTAGTATCTGTGGCGTTGATTTTTGTGGCCCCGTCTATACGACATTGAAAATTCGTGGAAGGCCTCCTTATAAGTCCTACATAGCGCTTTTTGTGTGTTTTGCGTCCAAAGCGGTTCATTTAGAAATTGTGTCAGACTTAACCACTAACTCCTTCTTATTGGCTTTCCAAAGGTTCGTTGGGCGCCGAGGATGCCCTCGCACAGTCCACTGCGACAACGCGACGAACTTCGTCGGAGCGAGTCGCCACTTCCAGGGCCTTCGGGAGCGCATAGAGAAGGAGGCAGACGCCATTCGAGAATTCGCGTCAAGAAGCGGATGCGAGTTTGCATTCACACCGCCTCGGGCTCCGCACATGGGCGGGCTTTGGGAGGCAGGTGTGAAAACTGCAAAGCACCTACTCCTACGAGCGGTGGGCAGCGCGCTCCTAACCGCAGAAGAGCTGGAGACGGTGCTCGTCGGGATCGAGGCGGCGATGAACTCCCGGCCGCTAGGCGCGCTATCCAACGATCCCAGCGACGGAGAAGCGCTAACACCAGGGCACCTGCTGACAGGCGGGCCGCTATTCCCCATCCCAGCACTCCGGACCCCGGACCAGGCGGGTCTCAGTTGCTTGCGGCGATGGCAACTTGTCTCGTCAGCCAGGCAAATGTTCTGGCGGCGATGGTCCCTGGATTATGTGCTGGGCCTGCAAATTCGGGGCAAGTGGCACCAGGAGCAGCCCAACATCCAGGAAGGACAACTGGTCGTCGTCGCCGAGGACAACCTGCCGCCTCAACAATGGCTGATAGGGAGGATCATCGCCACTCACGCAGGAGAGGACGGCATGGTCAGGGTCGTCGAAGTGAGGACCAGCGGAGGAGGGATTTTTAAGCGGGCCATCCATAAATTGGCGCCGCTTCCAATATGTTGAAGCCGGACGGGCCTTCAACGGGGCCGGTGTTGGCTGAAGCCAGTTTTTCGTTTTTTTTATTTTTGAATTGTTAGAATAAGTTTCGTTGAAATTGAGTTTGATCGAGCGCACGCATTTCTTTTTCGTTTTCGTCGTTTTGCCAAAATAAATTTATTAATTAGCCACCCAAGTTTCGGTTTTTAATAATTAGAAAAACGCTTCTAAATTTTCAGATACTATGGAAAACAGTCTATTATACCCAGACTTTGGACCCAACATAACGGACTTCGGACCCGCGGAAAGAGGAGATACTGTGAACTAAAGGTACCTCTGCGGACTTTGACCCCGTTATAACGGTGAAGTTGAGGACTTTGAGCACTTTTTTATACTTTGGGCTTTGGACTGTCTGGAGGAAAATTACGGGACCAAGTCTGCGTATGAAAGGAGGACACACGCTCGCTAGAGGGACAGTCAAGTCGTGTAAGAGATCGCACCAACGCGAGTGGAAGCCCAAGTGAATACCAAGTGCCAAATTATCCAGATCAAAATCATCGAGTCAAAAAGCCCAGCGACGGTCACGTCCACATAAGCTGAAACTGCCTAGCTGAGATCCAGACGGTGCAAGGTAAAGTGTAGGGCGCGTCTACGAGTCTGAGCAACGACGAAGTTAGTAGAGTCATAGCAGTATATGTTGTGTGAAAGGTACTCGGTGTCGGTTCATAAGAGAGTGAGAACCTGCCGAGGGCCATGCCGACGTAGTCCAGACCAAACTCCGGGGTGGAGCGAATAGTGTTGACAACAAGCATCACTGCTTAGCCTCGCTAGGGAGGTTCTGCTTAGAGGTTCATTCGAGAAAGACCAGTAGCGAGTCAAGTACGCTACCGGTAACCAAAAGACTCGGTGAGGCAGAGGACGCGAGGTAGACGTGCCGCCGCAGGAGTCGACGCGGGAATTATCACCAGCGTCCACGAGGGCATTATCGTCGCCATACAGAGCATTTCACATTTAGTCAATTTCATAACGAGAGTCAATAAACCAAACTCCCTTTTGCTATAATCTAACCTATTCTGTGTATTTCCTGGTTTCGGGGTCACTCATTAATAAATTTTGTGGGACGAACAAACAAACTCAACTGAGCTAGCCACCCGTTTACGTAGCGAGCAAACAGAAAAAGCATTTCGTTAGATATGGTGCCCAAGCGTGATTCTTGGAACAAAGAAAAAACAGAGTTAGAAAGGGAAAGTCGTGGTTATTCAACCTTAAAAATAACGACTTCCCAGCCATCGCAAGTGCCCTAGATATAAAGCTATATAGCCTTGTCGAGGAGATGAGACGGACTCTGGCCGGCAGGGCAGGACTATGCCAAAGTCGCGAAACAGGTGAGGGAATGGAGCTTCCGGTACGATGGAAACGACAAGCCTCTAGAATTCCTCGTGTAAGTGGAATGGTCACCCATGACGTACTAGATAGACATTGACCAAATTCCGAGGGCGATGCCGGAACTCCTAAAGGGCAGAGCCCTGAAATGGTTCATTGCCAACAACAGAATCTGGGAGACCTGGGACGAATTCATCTACAGTTTCTTGCCCAGGGGATACATGGCCAAACTAGCAGATCAGGTCAGGTAGCGTAAGCAAGGCTATGGCGAAAGCTTCAGGGACTTTACGGCTGGGCATGTCCAAGGACGAGGTCTTGGAAAGGATTGGGGAGAACAGCACACCGGCACTACGGCTGTTTGTTCGCCCCTACGGGTGCCAGAACTTGGACGCCTGATGGCGTTGGCGGATGGATTTGAGGAGCTCGACCTGCAAAGGGAACAGTTTGAACAGCAGAAAGCCCAAAAGGGCCGATGTCATGCGCCGGCCATGAGGAGGGAACAGGCAGCAACATGCAGGCGCTGCCAGGAAGGACCCGAACGCATTCTGCTGGAATTACCGAAAAATCGGCGTCAAAAACGAAGAGTGCTGCGCAAGAGCGGGAAACGCCGAGTGTTGATTTCCGGCAAATAAATGCGAAGTCCATATAGGATGGGTATGCAAATTCTTCAGGAAAGAGCTACGGTACTTAGGGCATCGCATCACAGACCAAGGGATTGCAATTGATCCGAAGAAGATAGCGGCTATAGCGTTGCTAGAAGCTACAGATAATGTAAAGGAACTGAGGTAGAACCTCGGAGTGGCATCGTGGTATCGACGCTTCGTAACTGATTTCGCCACTCTAGTCCAACCACAATGCCCTACTCCGGAAAAAAGTGAAGTGGGAATGGACCGACGACCACCAGCAAGCCTTTGAAGAAGTCAGGGTCAGGCTGGTCGCCGAAGCAATCCTGGCGTGTCCCGACTTCACAAAAACATTCGACCTATAGACAGATGCCACAATTATGAGGGCTTGGCGCGATCCTCACCCAACACTCGGAACAAGACGAAAGGGCAATATCCTTTTCAAGTGACTTTTGGGATGGAGCGTAAAGGAATTACTCCGCAACAAAAAAAGAAATGCCCTACAAAAACCCGCAAAAATACCCGGACTAAATGATGGAGGGCAGAGCAAGAATCGGGGACGTGGTCGCGTGAAAGCTATGCATACCCGGCGTCTCTAGAAAAAGGATTATAGCAGAAAACCACTACACACCAATGGCCGGTCACTTGGGCAGCCGGAAAACGATTGCAAGGATGGCTGTGAAGTACCACTGGCTGGGCATGCACAGAAACTTCAGGGCCTATGTACGGAACTGCGAAAGTTGTATGAGGTATAAGCCGAACCAACAGCAGGCGGCTGGCAAGATGTTGAAGAAGATTCCCAAGGAGCCATGGGCGACAGTGTGCGCCGGTTTCGTCGGGCCACTGCCACGTTCAGAACTTGGGAATGCAATGCTTTTCGTGCTGGTGGACCGATTCTCTAAGTGGACCGTGATGGTGGCCATGCAGAAGGCGACCACCGCATCGCTGCAAAAGGCCATAAGGGAGAGAATCGTTTCAAGTTAAAATGGCAAAAATTGCCAGAGTTGCAACTGGCTTTAAATACCAGCGTGGTGGAATCCACCGGATACTCGCCAGCAATCATCACCCAGGTTGGAGAACACAGGCTTCCGAAGGCTCTGTACGACGAGCACACGATTGGGACCGGCAAGACGACACAAATACCAGCAGAGAACGCATAGAAATTAAGTGAAATCTTCGAGGTCGTCAGGCGGAATATGGAAAAGGCAGTGTAGGATCAGGCACGCCATAACAACCTGCGAAGGAGGCCATGGACCCCGAAGATTGGCGATAAAGTCTGTACAAAGGAACACCACCTGTCCAGAGCGGTGGATGGCTTCGCTGCAAAATTGGCCTCCAGATATGACGGGCCATACACCATCACGAAATTTATTTCCCCGGTCGTTTGCAACTTGAGGCACAGCCTGAGTGGCAAGGAAAACCGAATCATATTATTGAGCTAAAGCCGCCCGGAAATAATAGTAGTGACCGTCATACTGGAGGCACAGTGTGCCTGGCACACTGTACGTGCGTTACGTGACAAAGGGAGAGGACGGTACGGAGTTTCCAGTTATTGGTTCCAACGCACGTATAGTTGGAGGGTGAGCGCCACCAGAGCGCTTAGACGGCCGGACGCAACAGCAGCAGCAACTTCAACAGCAGCATCAGCGACTTTAGCAGCAGCAGCAGTAACTTTAGCATCAGCAGCAACAGCAGCAACAACAATAAGCGGGAGTATTCATTATATTGCAGACACAGTTTTACATTATCCGCGTACATAAGTACGCGGGAATGCGCAATGACCAATTGTAGATCATTAACAAACAGGGTAACATGTAATGATCCAAGGTTGCTTCCTTGTAGTATTCCAGTGATAACTCTGAGGAGACTACTTAGAGAATTTTTAAAAAGGGCTCATTGTGTCCGGCCCCTGAGATAACCATGTAAACATCACAAATATTCCACGCAGCAGACACAACAAAAAAATAAAACGGAATTTCTAACTTGGACAATAAATTTATTCACAACGGAATTTTTAACACTTGGACTGGACTACGCGGCTGGAGTTGTAGTCCAGGGAGTCCCTCCCAACCATTGAGTGCATCCCAGGATATGCCTCGGATACATATCCCAATTTTGTTTGGTGTATTGGGCTCGCATACTCAGACGAATTCATTTTTTTCAACTCGTTATAATTGCAAAAATCATTTCTCTTAATTTCTAACATTTAATTATCCTACCAACGGTACCGATGGACTCATTACATGGAACACATACATATATATCGGAGAATCAATTTTTTCAGAGTTTTGCATTTTAGCGAAGTGAGTCCCGATCGCGGCAAGAGTTCAAATCGAAGTGTCGCGCTGTTCAACTTCAACGCCTCTCCTTCCCCGAAATTATCGTATTCTCCTCTCTTGCGCAATCGGGCCACACTCGATGGTTATGCCGTTATTCCAAACGTCTTGCAACACCATCTCGCTAATATTGCACTCTCGCTCTCCAGAGAGAACGAGCACTTTGGATTCTAGGAATCTGTCACTTTCTGGAATTATAGAATCAACTTCTATGCCCGCCAAATAAGTCAACGGCTCTTAGAATTCAAATAATTCCTAGAACTGCGACACGGCCTTCCTGACAGGCACACGTCCTCGTGTATGATGTTTATAACCCAATAAGCATTACTACTTAAATGCTGTTCTTATTCATTAACAATAATTCCAACTTAGACTTTCAAAAACAACTCGTCCTCCTGACTCCCGCCAAGTATCCACACAGGATCATGGTGCAGCCACACATACATATGCTCCCGCCAAGCATCTACACAGGATCATGGTGCAGCTTCTCATATGCTCCCGCCAAGCATCCACACAGGATCTTGGTGCAGCCTCTGATATGCTCCCGCCAAGCATCCATACAGGATCTTGGTGCAGCTTTACATCCAACAATACTTGTTATTACAATTTGTCTTGTTCACTTCGGGTCTGACCATCTTCATCAATTGCGGATAGCGAACGGCCTTCTATAAGGTTAGTTGCGAAAAAGCGCAAGCTAATAAGCAACCCCGGACAAATAGCGGGTACACCGGAGTCGGTGTACTGATGAGACGTTTGTCTGGCCGTCTTCAAAAGTATAGCCTCACACACTCCTCTTCCCTCACGACTACCTATCAACTCCCCTCCCCACACAATCTCACTCCGGGCTAAAGTGTCATCCGACCCGTGCCGATAGTCAGCCTGGCTGGGGGCCCGGATTAACAAATAGCCCAGTCTCTCACGGAGGGTTCAGGCAAGTGGCGACCGCCTGTCCTAACTGCGCCTTACCCGGGTATGGCGGATCTCTGCCCGGGTGGACCATACTTTCTCCGCAACTCGTGGGATTCGATTATGAAGAAACATACGAACACCAAATTGCCGCAGGATATCCCTGCATCAAGTGCCGCAAGGCTCTTGGAAAACAGACTCCTTGACGGAGTGCGACCCCAGGTAGGACCAGCCCCGCCCAGGAGCGCAGCTTCCATCAGGAGTGCGTCACGGACGCAGAATGTGGGACAACCCCCACAACGATCGACTGTTCCAGTTCGGGAACGTGGGCTACCGGCAGGACCATCCCGGCCGGCTTGCCCACCCCCCGCGGCTGTACAGAAGACCAAGCCCGCCAATAAGGCAGATGTCCTTCCAGCCAGAGGACAACCAGGAGGCCTTGGCGACCCCAACAGAAAAGGCCTGTCGGGGTCCAAGGTCAAATGGTACCTCAGGTATCTTCAGCAGGGCATGACACCTGATGAAGCTTTGAAGAAGGCGAAGGAGCCACGACCAGTGGCACAAAATGTTGCCCCTGCCAGCAAGCGAGCAAATAGTACCCTCACCCCTCCGATGGACACCCCGAAAAGGTTCAAGTCAGAGGGCATCAAAGAGGCAGCGGCACCTCCCCCCCCGTCCCCCAAGGCCTGATGAGCCAAGCAAATCGAAGGCGGCGGCGACGAGGAGACCCACCCCCCCCTAGGGCATCTGCTGGCACACCCAGCGTGCCGAAGGCGGATGTCAAGGGTGAGAAGCAGCCACCCTCCACTTGTACGGCTTTTCTCACTGGCACGCATCCCTACGCGGAGGCCGCCAAGAGAGTCAGAGTTGCGGTACTACCTGAGGACTACCCGCAGGTGTACCTAAGCAACGAAGAGCTTGCCGAGCTGGAGGAGGCCATAATGGACGACGTAGTAACGTCTGAATGGGACTCAGCAGTCGCCTTCAGAGGTATCCACTTTAGGGTCGGATACCTCCTGATAGACTGCTTGGACCAGGACTCGGCGGACTGGCTGAGGGCTGTAACGCCTCAGCTAAGGACGTGGAAGGGCGTGCCCCTTGACACTAGGGTAGGATTAGACATTCCTGCTGCATACAATGTCACAGTCTTCTGCCCTAGAAGTGCAGAAAGAAGCAATGAGGAGCTTCTGATGATGCTGGGACGCCAGAACAGAATGGAGGTCGATTCCTGGAAGGTAATCTCCCGAAGGAACGACGGAGGCGGGGCACTCCTCGTTATAGGGATAGACTCACCCGAGATGAGATCGTCTCTAAAGGGCACCAGCTGAACTTTAGATTCGGGACCGTCTCGGTGAGTGGTCTCAGGAAGGCGGCGAAGATGGCGGCAACAGAAGCAGCGCCCCCCGGCCCCAAAGACGGCGAAGTGGAGGTCGAGGAATCCCTCGGAAAGCCACAAGAGCCATTGGGTGCAAAGGAGGAGGCTATCGCCGATATGGACGTGGAGAGTGAGGATGAACATCCCTCGCCCTCCCAGGAGGTGGCACAAGAGCCCCCCCTAGAAGATATCGACGAGAAGGAGGCCGACGTCACCCTGACGGAAGGCAGTGAAGGGGAATTCCCGCCCCCTTCACAAAACATGGAGCACCCGCTCCAGTAATGGCTGCATACCGCAGCACGCAGCTAGCCCAGGTGAACTTACACCGGGCCAAGGCGGCATCCGCCGTCCTGGCCAGGTTGTTCACCTCCCAACATCTCAGGCTAGCTCTCATTCAGGGGCCTTGGTGCGATCAGGGCATTAAAGGCCTGTACACCAAGGAATCAAAGGTAATATGCGACCAACGGGGTGCACACCCAAGAGCATACATATTAATAAGGAAAGATATCAATTATAATATCTTTTCAGAGTTCCTAAGCAGTGACTGTGTCGCGGTAACGCTGAGCGGCACAGGAAAGTTACCAGAGATCGCCATAGCATCGGCGTATTTCGCTGGGGATGCAGCATGCCCACCACCGGAAATCATCGGACTCGTGGAATGCTGCAGGAGGAAGAAGTTACTCCTAATCATAGGATGTGACGCCAATGCACATCACGTGATATGGGGAAGCACCGACGTCAACAACAGAGGTGAGCAGCTAATAGAGTTTATTGTAAATAGTAACCTAGAAATCGGTAATGTCGGGTCCACACCGACATTCATCACTAGAGTAAGAGAGGGCAAGATTGCACAAGGCTATGGCCAAAGTTGCACCAGAAAGTAACCTAGCCCTGAGGAAATGTGACAACTCTTACACTTCCGACGACAGGGATAAACTAGCTTTACTCTTTAAAACACACTTCCCCGGGAGCTCACCCCTGGCGGAAGATACGTCCAACCCAATGGAAGCATCGTCCAATCCAAGACACCTCAGACCAAGCGCAGAGGACTGGGCAATTGCCAAGTCTCTAGTCTCTCCGGAGAGACTTAAATGGGCAATTGGGACCTTCCAGCCATTTAAGTCACCTGGTCTGGATGGTATCTCTCCATCATTCCTGCAGCAGGGACTGGATTTACTCCTAACCCGCTTAAGGAGACTGATGCTAAGCAGCCTAGCAATTGGACACATCCCAAATGCGTGGCGTAGAGCTAGGGTGGTCTTCATCCCCAAAGCAGGGAAGAAAGACATCACCAACCCAAAGTCCTTCAGACCTATCAGCTTAACTTCGTTTTGCCTTAAAACGTTGGAAAAGCTGGTAGACTACCATATTAGGAGCACAGTTCTTAAGGACTGTCCGCTGCAACCCACGCAGCACGCATACAGGGCAGGTCGTTCAACAGACACTGCACTGTACCAACTTTATCACACTCTTGAAGGGGTAGTGGACAACAAAGAAGTTGCAATCTGCGCCTTTCTGGATATAGAGGGAGCCTTTGACAATGCGTCGCATGATGCTGTCTTAGCGACCCTCGCCAGAAGGAATATAGACGCGACAACAAGAAGGTGGATTGGAGCCTTGTTAAGCTCCAGGCAGGCAATGGCGACCATTGGCAACAGCACAATGACCGTTGCCACAAGCAGAGGATGTCCGCAAGGTGGAGTCTTGTCTCCTTTACTGTGGAGCCTACTAGTAGATGAACTACTAAAGAAACTCGCCGACAAAGGAATACAATGTCAGGGCTATGCCGATGACATAGTAATAGTAGCCAAAGGGAAATTTGAAGAAACGTTTTGCGATATTGTCCAACTCGGACTCAAGATAACGCTCGACTGGTGCAGAGAAGTTGGGCTTAACCTCAACCCCGCAAAAACAGTCATTGTTCCTTTTACAAAGAAGTACAAACTAAAGAAGATGAGACAAATCATGCTACTAGGTACTTCCGTAGCAATAAGCCGGGAAGTTAAGTACCTCGAAGTTACCTTCGACAGGAGGCTAACGTTTGCAACCCATATGCAAAAGACAGTGGATAAGTGCCTCAGGGCTCTCTTCATCTGTCGGAAAATTGCAGGGAAATCTTGGGGGACCTCACCCCAAATTATCAGATGGTTATACCTTATAATTGTGAGGCCAATACTCACATATGAGTCAGTAGCCTGGGGTAAACGAGCTAGGCTCGTTACCGCACAGAAACAGCTCCAAAGGCTGCAAAGACTGGCATGCATATGTATGACAGGAGCAATGAGAACCTGCCCCACTGCGGAAATATTAAGTTTGGACTCGTCTTCAAAATTAGGGTGTTCCAAAAAGCTAAATTTTTGCACAAGTGGTCGTTGGCAAAGATAATGAATTTCCCGAGGTAATCAGGAATAGTTTTAAAAAAAAATTTTTTTTTTGTCTTTTTTTGGGAGCATTTGAAAGTGAAAAGTGCGATTTTAGCTTAAAAAATCGTTGTTAATTTATTTTTTAAAAATAGAAAAAAAATTAAAAATTAAAAAAACTCTTCTTGATGACCTGCGTATTTATGTGGAGAATTTGTGTAAAAAATTTGAAAAGGATCGGTTGAGTAGATTTTGAGTTCTGATGTTCACCGTCTTTCAAAATAACGTTTTAGGGAAAATCGATTTAAACTCCGTTAATTTGACTCCAATAGACTCAAAAATTTTACACAATGTTCTCAACATATTGCGCTCTTAGAAAAAAAAAAAAAAAAAAATCGAAAACAAAAAAATTGTTAAAACTTAGAGACTAGTTTGAAGAGAAACAGACAGACGGAGAGACGTATTTGAATTCTGATTGTGATGCTGATCAAGAATATATACACTTTATGGGGTCTGAGGTGTCTCCTTCACTGCGTTGCAAACTTCTGAATGAAATTATAATACCCTTTGCTCTGCAAAGGTATAAAAACTAATTTTATAATTTATATTAATTCTCAACACTGTTAATATTTGAACAAGAAAGGAAGCTAGCTTCGGCAAGCCGAAGCTTATATACCCTTGCGAATGCTCATTAAATGCATAAAGGTTGTTCAGCCTTCGAACCTATGACGATATTAGTATAAATTTTTCATATTTTCGACTGTTGTTCAGCTATATGATATAGTTGTCCGATTTTGATCAAATTTAATTCGTAATTCAAGAGTCGTTAGAAAACTCTATATTCCAAAAATCATGCTTGTCTGATAAAAAACAACGATGTTTTCTTTTTGTTTCCGTTATTTCTATATAGATTTTACGATCTTTCCTATGGCAGCTATATGATGTAGTACTCTGATTTTTATGAAATTTTTTTTGTCAGTCGTTCCCCAGCATTCGTTGAGTAAAGACGTGCACGCAAATTACCTCCCGTACAATCCAAATCTATTCTCCGCTCGTGTGCCATTCTTGCGCACGAAGTTTTACCACTGGTAAACGGTGGCCACTGCTTATCGCAAAAACGGTCATTGACCTGCAAGTCTTAAGCTATGTTTTGTTTGTTATCAACTTACGCTTTAGACTTCTGTTCGTGTCAAGTGAATATCATTGCATTATACGTTAAAGTATAACGTCAATTGATATAATGGATAAGTCATCAGCTCAATCGCAACCTAGTAATAGGTGCGATAATCTTGAGAGGATGAGAAGAGCAACTGGGACAGATCCTGAGGAAATTCGGTCCCAAATCCACGCCCACAATGCGGACATAAATGCCTTACTCGCAGGTATGTCAGCAAAATCACAGATCTCCAGCTCGATTGCAACAATCAGCAGCAACTCCACTACCAGTGTTACTTGCACTGTTACGAATGCCCAAGCAAATTTAACCAGCACCTCTTCGTATACTGTGGCTGCATCTGTTGCCTCTAACATTTGCTCAACTATGTCTCGTGATGACAACACGTCAAAAAGTAAACAATCATCAACGGCGAAGAAGGTATACAAAGAAAAATGCCCATTTCAAGCTGCTGATCGTAATGTGAGCAGAAAACGGAAAGGCGCGACTCAGGTCTCATTTCCGACCCTCACTCCAGAATATATACAGCTACCCCTGACGGTTTGCGTTCAGTGGTTGTAAAATTATCAACTCTTAACTGTCAGTTTTGGCATCACCAACTTAAAGAAGAGAAGCCGTATAGAATAGTGGTGATAGGAATACATGCCAATGTTCCTAAATCACAGATCGAAGAATGGCTGATAATGGCTTTGAAGTCCTTTATATCTATTGTCCCAAGAAATCTGGCTGGAGGAATATTCAGATTAACGAGGAGGACTCTGAGGCCACAATCAACTACAAAACAAGGCAAAACCTATTTTATGTTAACCTCAAGCAAAGTCCGAACGTAGCAGAGGCACTACTTATAACCCAAATTGGCAGACACAGAGTAAATATAGAACGTGCTACTCGTAGAAAAGAATTATTGCCAAATATTTGGGCACTCGAGAAATTACTGCGTCCTGGACCCTGTCTGTGGTAAATGTAGTGGCCCTCATATTACAGGCTGTGTGCTCTGCACTAGCGAAACATTTGAGCGCGTAAACTGCGGAGGTGACCACGCCTCCAGTGATAGAAACTGCCCTGTTAGAGTAGAAAAGTTTAAAAAATTAAAGGCTAAGCCTAGGCTCCCCAAGACTGATGATCTGAAACCCACCTTCCGTGGATTTATTCCATCTGAGGCTTTAAGAACCAACGTTTCTTACGCCGATATCGTTCGACCCAACAATTTCCAAGCAAAGACCTCTGTTACACTGCAGAGTGACGCTACTTCACCCTCAGATCCTAAGCTCAGCCACAAATTCTTGGCTATAGACAACTCCATTCGTGCCATCAATACCAAAATGGACCAACTCTTTAAGCTTATGCAGGAAACTATAGAGGCCAACAAGGCTTTCAGAGAAATGGTCCAGGTTCTTATCGCACAATTGACGAAATGAC